TGCCGCTCGGCCTGGGTTCTAGGTGAATGGCTGTGCAATGTGGTGGCCTTGGCCAGGGTAAGTCCCCCTTAGGCTCTCACTCCGGATGTGGTGCTGGCACAGACTCTTTCACGGCAGGGGAGCGGGGCCAAGTGCAGGCCAGGGGCCGGCAGAAAGCACCAGCTTAGCCCTCAAGGGCAAGCCTTTGGAGAAGCTGACCCTCGTCCCCTGGGTGTGTCACCGCCTGAGGCCCCAGGCTGGCCCTGCCATGGTGCCGGTCAGAGGGAAAGGGCTTGGGGTCCTGACCAAGGGAAGTCAGGCTGCGGTCTATCCAGGGGGTAAGCCCCAGCTGCAGCGTCACATGGAAGTCTGAAGGCAAGAGAGGAAGGCAACAGGCCAGAGACAGGGACAGAGGGAGGAAGGCATGAAACATGGTGGAAAGTGGTGTGTCATGGGCACCGGAAGGGGCCCTGCCCTCTCCTGCAGGCCCTCTTGGGGGCCTTGGCCGGCCAGCTTGTCCTGTTAGTTTGTTAATGTGGTTGCAGCCAAATGAGACGGCAACTCAGGCAGAGGAGGGATGCAGGCTTCTCTGTCCCCGCACAGCCAGCACTTGGCTTATGCCTTTCCGAACAGCCAGCTAATCAAGACTGGAAGGGTTCTTATCACCGAGGGCTGGGTAAGGCACAGGCTCTCCTTCCAGACGTTTTTGCAAAGCTCTAATCACACTGCTGTCTTTAAACCAAACCAGGAGCTACAAATGGTTTTTCTCGAGGGTGTGGATCACAGCGTTTTGCTGAGACCTTAATCCACATGTTCTCCTTCCTTCACGGGTATCCCAGGAGCCAGAGGGGAAGCGCTCAAGTCCGGGCCATGACTGAGTCTCCACAGATCAACATCCTGCCATCAGGTGGCCACGGCCCTGTATCCGAGAAACCCCTGCCACGTGCCTGATGCTGAGCTGGCCCAACGCCAGAACATACGTGACCAGTGACAACCGGGGGCTCATGCTAGAGGCCGCTACGTGGAACAGGCTGTGCCAGGGACCCGGCTGCATGCTCGATTTCCCTTCACTTCCAGATTCAGGCTGCTCTGTTTGGGGCCGCTCCCATGAGTACAGTGTGGTTGGAGAAAGACGAAGCATTCATGTCTCTCTGCCTGATGTTGTTGACAAAAATATGCTGTTTACATATTGCAAATCACAGTATGGGCACAACTCACAGGGAGAGGCCAGCAGAGGACTTCTTTGATCAAACACCAAAATTCATGGGGCCCCTGGGTGGCTCAGTCGCTGAAGCGTCCAACTTCCGCTTAAGTCATGATCTCACAGTTCGTGAGTTCGAGCCCCGCGTCGGGCTCCGGGCTGGCAGCTCGGAGCCTGGAGCCTGCTTCGGATTCTGTGTTTCCCTCGCTTTCTGCCTCTTCCCAGCTTGCACTCTGTCTCTCTCTCTCTCTCTCTCTCAGAAAAATAAGTAAAACACTAAAAATAATTTTAAAACCCCCCATCAAAATTAAAGATGAAATTGTCGGTGATAGCAGCCAGCTCGTGATCTTATCCCCTCGGTAAGGTGCCCACACTCCTGCCAAGCCCTGTGACCTGGGTGGTTAAAGTGTTATGCAAGAAGGTGTAACAATGTCCTTTATGGGGTGTTCCCAAACTACAGCCTCAAGGACCCCCTCCCACCCCCTCTCCCACAGGTGGATGCAAGCCCTGGGTCAGGTGGACACAGCTTCCAAAGCACTGCATGAAAGAGATTCAAGAGGTACTCGATCCGAGAGGACTTCCATTAGGCCTTGGTCTATGTCGACATCTGGAAACAAATCATACTCTGCCATTTGCCTCAGGAAAAGTAAGTAAGAAATGCGTCAGCTTTGTCTGCCTTGATGTGGGAGCCAAAATGACAATTGTGCTGTGCAGAGGTCAGGCGTTGGGCAAGACAGACTTTCTGGTGAGAAAAGGACCCCCGAGAAGCTTTGACGTAGCAACAGGAGTCCCGTGCGACTCTGACCTGTGCCCGCTGCGTGCCTGCGTCCCAGCTGGACTAGAGTCTCTCCAGCTGGCCGAGGGGCTGCGCAGGGGGTCCCCCCGGGAAGCTTCAGGGCCGCTTTCGGCCAGTGCTTGACTGGGGGGTGTGCGTGAAGCCCTTTGCGGCCCCGCTGTGGAAAGCTGGGGCCGCTGCGTTCTGGTTCATTCCAGCACCCACCGTCCCACGTGTCTGGTGACACGCAGAGTGTCTCCAGTCTCTGTGAGGGGACAGGAATAGCATTTCTAGGCTGCGCTATGAACACGGGGGGGTCCCCCGGAACACCTGGCGGGGAAACAGGCAGTTCATATCCAATGAGCCAGGAGACGGGAGCAGGGCAGAGCAGAGGAAACACTCGGAGCCAGGAGACCTCGATTCTGGTCCCGCCTCCTCCCCCAACTTCATTCCAGTGGCTCAGACTAGGTAGGCCTCAGTTTACCGCCCTGTAAAATGGGGGTTATAATGGGTGCTCTTGCGTGAATCGAATGAAATAATACGTGGGAACACCCTGTGAGTTTAAAGCCTACGTTAGGGAAAACTATTGGCCATATGCTATTCCTACAGATGTCCGACAATCCCTCAATTACTGCTATTTATTAGTTACATTTCCTATGATGACTCCCAAGTCTGTCTGCATCCGTTAGTTACTGTGCAGAGCTGCGGGCAACTGACGTGACCAGGGAGCGTTGGAGGAGTGTGTTTCCGGGGAGTGAGTCTCTCCCCTGCCCTGGGGAAGCAGCACAGGGTCAGGGTGGGGGAGGGGAGCTTCCGGCCTCCCATGAAGAAAAAACAGGATGGCCCAACATGCAGTGAGTGGCCAGAGGCATCCAGTGGGTGAGCTGAGACAGCGGCAGAGAAGCAAGATGATGCCTTCTGGCTGCAGGGGGAGGGGTGGGGAGCGGGCACCCGGGAGGACACGAGGCAGGGGCTGGGCTGGGGGAGAACGGGGTGGGGGGACTGTGAATCAGAGCAGGCAGATCAGTGACCCACTGACAGCTGCTGCCCTAGCTGACCAAAGCACGGCGGGTTCAGCTCACAACTCGCAGAGGTCCCTTGATGATACTGTGGCCTCAGTTCTGAAATGTAGAAATAAGGTGATAAGAAGAAGAACAATACCTATCATTTGGGGAATGCCATCTCCATGCAAAGTGGCCAGTTGCCACGTCTCATTTAGTTACTGTTCTAGTCTATTCCTTGAACACATTAAGTTCCTTCCTGTTCTGAGCCTCCGTGCATGCTGTTCCTTCTGTGGGAATGCTCTTCCTCTCACTGCTCCCAAGTCTCTCAAACCTTAGTCTCAGGTGACCTCCTAGGAAGGGCTTTCCCTGACCGGCCCCCTAGCCAAGCTTTCACCTGCCTCAGTACTCTGTTCCTGCCATCTTCTTGGCTCCTCTTGACGACAATGACTAGAGTTTGTCCCCTTGTATTTCTCTTATCATCCCTATTTTACAGACAGTTACTAAACAGCTGCTCAAGGTCACGGTTAAGGGCAACTCCAGACTCTCATGCCCAGAAGTGCCAGAGGCAGAGCGCCCAAGCCCCCTGGGCTTGCCTCTGACCCCTCAGCTCGCGGCCAGGTCTGGGGTGCTGTGGAGATCTGCACCTCCTGGAGACCCCCAAACCCGACGCTTCGAGTTTCCTTCAGAAAGACCCCCGGAAAGCAGGGGGTGCTTTCTGTGTGCGTGCTGTGCACGTGCAGTGCGTGCTGTGCACGCAGCCTGAGCCCGCAAGGGCAGGGATCACTTAGCAAAACATCTGAATGACAGGCTATTTGAAGGTCGTGTGCCTCTCCCTTCTCTGAACCCCGAATCCACCTCTGGTCTCAACCTTTCAACCGAGTGCCTATCACCGTGGACTGACTCGTATCCCGGCCCTGCTTTGCCAACCAGGTGATTGAGTCCCGGAGGGCTGGGATCGGGTCTCCTACTTACTTTGTGGAGGAGCACACACAACGAACAGCAGTCAAGCTGACAGCATGTTGGCAAGGGGAGGTTCTGCCAATAAATCAATGACGTTAAAGCTCTGACAAAGCCATCAACGTGCCTCTCGTCACCCCCCATGCATCTGGTGGTGGTGAGGCCACGGAGCATCACTTCCGGAGTTGCACGCCGACCACGCAGCTGGTGTGCACGCCCTTTTTTCGACCCTTGACCCCAAGGAGGGGCAGGCTACGGGCTTGGCATCGCTCTCCCCACGTCCGACTGCCCAGTTCGGCACAGCGCCTGTGTGCTGCCCCGTCCCTTCCCCCTGCCAGGTCCGTGGATGCCGACAGCTTCTAGAACACGAGCCCTGCCAACCAGTCCCTGTGTTTCGGGCTGAATCTCCACCCGGAAGGCCCGGCTCCGCAGCCTTAGCCTCCGTCCTTCCCAGCAGCCCCCGTGTCCCTCGAGGGGCCGCTTAAACCAGTGGAGGATTTTACAGGCTTGGTGGCTCCCCCAGAGACATCAGCAGGCCCAGACCCTTGGGTCCCAGGAAGGCCACCGTGCCTTGTGATTCGGCCCTTGGCTTAATTTCAAGGTGACAGGCAGAAAGGCCAGAGCCCCTTCCTTCCCGACTTCCCAGCCGTGTCCAGATGTGGCCGTGGCCACTTTGGTGGCAATTTTCTCACGGTCACCTCTCAGGTCCACTAAGCAAGGGGTGGAAGTTGTAAGGACACACGTGGCCCTCATACAGGTGTTCTTTTCACAGGGCCAGTACAACTCTTTCCAGAAGGAGCATGCTTACTGACACCTTTGTTCTTCCTAAATTGGTCTCTGCGTAAAAACCCGCCTCCATATTCCTTAGGAGCCCGACTATGTTTCCTCCCTCTGTCCCCTCCCAGGCCCCCCACCCCCCCCCCGACACTTTCTCTGTTCCTCACCCCGTCCCCCCTTCAGGAACCCTTGGCACACCAGTCAACTATAGATGGTTGGGCGTGGCAGCCCCACGTCCATGGGGACAACGGCTCTGACCTGTGCCTGATGCAGGACATCTGCATGGGAGGGGGGGCCTGGGACTCACCCAGAGGGTGGAGGGAGCTCGGGGGCCTCCCGGGGGGGCTGCGGTCCCCTCGTCAGCGGCCTCTGCACTGCAGCTCTGGGGCTGTGACCACTCTGGCTCTTCTCCCATTTGCTGCTCGCCTTTGTTCTTCTGTTTTCTTATGATCTGGGGAGGAAGTGGGTGACACAAGGGGGCAAGTTACTGGCAAGGCCTTTGGGTGCTGGGTGGAGCAACTGGGGCCACCTCTGGGATTTTTTTAGCCACTTTCTTTTAGCCACATTTAAGGGCTTAGTTTCAACAGAATACCAGCCTGTTTCAGATCTGCCTTAGGGTAAAAATGACACAAGTACAGCCCTAAATATTCTACGGCACTGTGCGGTTTATAAATAATCCTTTCGTGATGCCGACAACTTCTACTTATTAAGGGCCAGCACGTGCCAGGCTGTTTCAGGCACTGTATATGGTCTACCTCATTTAATCATCGAAATAATTCTCAGGGCTATGTTCTATAACTCTTCCCATTTTACAGATGAGGAAAGGGGCGTGGCGAGGTTAAGTTATCAGTTAAGGCCATAGAGCTCATGAATACTGGAACTGCATCTCAAACCCAGAGTCTCTGGCTATAAATCCTGGTTTTAGGAAGCGCTGGCAGTCTGCGAAGCGGGCAGGTACCAAGAGCCATCAGGGAAGGCTTCTGCTCGTTTGTACTGCTTGCTACGTGGGGCACAGCCATTTGGATATAATGAGTCCATTTATACAGTGGTGTCTGGGCTCCCAACCTCTTGTAGGCAGGAAGCAGCCGAGAAAACGGCTGAGCCATTGATCTGAGTGTATCCTTCGATGTCTTTGTAGACCAGACAGGATGAGAAAGCGGGAGGCCGAGAGCCAGGGGGAGTGATGAACTGATGTGCCACGCCCTCGGGCAGACCAGGGCCGGATGGAGGCGTACCCCCATCTCCAGAGTCCTGTACCAGCTGTCTGTGCCCCCACAGGGTGTGTTCGACCCGTGACTTGTTTGCTTGGTTCGTAGGTCTCCAGCTTAGAAGCAGCCGAATCTGGGTTGAACGTACTTTGAGCTGTGGGTGGGATGAGACGCTTGGGGGGTCTCTGGGCGGAGTGAGGGACATGGATTTTGTGACCAAAAGGGACGACCGAACGTGCTCATCGCTCCCCGTGTGCAGTCCTTTGTTGTGTGACTCCTCATCCCTCCCAGGACAGGGAGAATGTACTTCCCACCTTGGCTGTGGCTGACTGTGCGCCTTGCTTTGGCCAATGACGGGTGACGAGGGAGTGGGTAGCGACAGGTGTCAGGGCGGAGCCTGGGCCCTCGTCCACACCACTGCTTCCTCTTGCTCTCCCGTGCTTCTGTCCTGGCTGTGTAGCTGAAGTGCCTTCAGTCCGGCCCCAGAATGAACACATTGCACGGACTAGATCCCAACCCATAGCTCGAGACGGGGTCACTGCAGATGCACGCGTGAGAAAGAGACTGCGGTATGATAAAACGTATGTGTGGCCTTTGACCCTGGCTCCTGGCACAAAGCTTGGAGCGTCGTTGTTAGGCTAATGAGGTGATGAGCCACACCACTATACAGATGGAGGCTGGTGGCCAGAAAAGCCAACCATGTGAACCATGGGACTTTCAGCCCCACCTTCAGCCTCCCTCGGGGCGAGGGAGGAACTCTATGCACCTGACTGGTGCATGCACTGATGTGCTGGGAGTGAGTGTGGTGGGCGGAGAGGGCATGGAGGTCTGCACACCCCTCCTACACAGGCCTTGTTACCCTCTGTATCTCTTCATCTGGCTGTTCATTTGTCTCCTTTATGATAAACCAGTAATTGGAAGTATAGCGCTTTGCTGAGTTTTATGAAAATCATCCGACCCGAGGGCAGCCATGGGAATCCCTGAATGTGTAGTAGGCTGGACAGAAGTGCAGTAACTTGGGCGTACCTGAAACTTCACTGGTACCTGGAGTGGGGGCACTCTAGTGGGGCTGAGCCCTTGGCTTGTGAGGTCTGTGCCAACTCTGAGTAGACAGTGTCAGAACTGAATGGAATTGAATTGAACTGAATTGAATTGAATTGAATTAAATTGAATTGAAGAACACCCCTGTGGCATCAGAGAATTGCCTGTGGAACACAGAAATAATCCTGCTCAGAGGCACAGAGTTTTGGGGTGGCTGGCTTCTCAACAGTAATTAACTGACACACCATGTAAGGGACAGTTTAGGGCATAGAGGTAGCAGGGGTGACTGCAAGTTTTCTTCAGCAAGAGACTATTTGAGAGATGTGAGAAGAGGACACACGTATACACACACATGCGCGTGCACACACACACTCGTGGGAGGCACACTCCAGGGAACAGGAAGACAGTGAGTAACCTGCTCCGTGCTGAGTTCCTGGCTCCCCACCCACTAGCTCCATCCACAAAGGCAACCATATTCGACCCCTCTGCTTACGTTTTGCCGGGCAATGCAAATCCTTTTGCACTGGCCCCCAGAGCACAAGAGAGGAGAGTGACAAGGCACAGAAACGGCGCCCAAGGCAACAATGGTACCCACAGGTGCGCCTCAGCCGGCCAGAGGCCCTGGTCTGGGCCAAGGTGACGAACTGCAGTGCGGGAGGCCAGGGTCTACCTACCTTCTGCAGGATGGTCGTGGCCAGTTCGTCCGTCAGCTCCTCCTTGTGGTCCCGCAGGTAACTGGCCTCATTCTGCTTGTCCTGCGGAGGGAGGGAAAAGAAGGGCCGCATGCTGTGGGTGGGTCGGGGGACCTGGCAATCACTTTCTTGGGAGTTCTGACCACAGAGGCAGAGGGAGGGTGGGCCTGGCTCTAGTCAAGGACAGACACCATGAGGCCGGTTTGCTGACAACCTATACTTTGTCCTGGCGGCCAGGACCTTGACCCGCACCTCCCCCCAGGGAGGAGAAGGGCGTCGTACCAGACTGTCCCCATAGGCTTCTGCTTTGGAAATTGCCTCCTCGATGGCCTCTTCAGCCACCCGCAGGGCGACAGCCAATGTGTCCATCATGCTGTGTCCTAGACAGGAAACAGAACACAGACCACTTTCGGAAAGGGAAAGACAGGTAAAATGATGGTTCCACTTTACTGCTTCTGTCTAAGTCTTGCAGGGGCCCGGTGATAAGTTCCCCACTGTTCACCCTGGCCCCTAGTGGTTCCCACTCACCCTCGACTCCAGCCACAACAGAATCGCTGCAGAGTTATTATCTCTCCCTTTATGATCCCCGTATCTTGGGCTTCCTTCCTCTGGTCCCTGCTCTGTAACTGAGCTGGTTTCTGGGGACCCCAAGCCTTGGCCCAAGTGTTCCTCCTCTGAAAATCCTCCTGTCCAGATCCCTTCTGTCCACCCACCTTGGCTGGATGTCCATCTGAGGTTCTGCAGTTCCTTCCTGTGGGGCCAGAAAGACTGTCCCTCCCTGCACAGGTCATTCTCAGAGAGCACGACTGGATCACACGGTCCCTCTTGTGGCCTAACACTGAGCATGGCTCCCGACACACAGAGTGGCTTACGGATAACTGCACAGAAGGACTCCATGTAAGGAAATACTGGTTCTTCTAAACCAAGTCTATCACTAACAACTCTGACCAAGTTCACCGAGCTCAACCACCTGCTGGCCCCAGACTGAGTGTCACATCCATGGCCACAGTTAATCTCTACAAGAATCCACTGAGTAGGTGCCATCTGACAGACAAGAGAACTGAAGCACAGAGAGGTCAAGCAACTTGGCCAAGGTAACTCAGGGAGACAGGAAGAGAGATGAAGTTGGGATCCAGACTGTCTCCAAAGCCCTCGATTTTAACCGCAAAAGCGAGACAAATACAAGCTAACGTGATTTAAAGTCTAATGCTATCGTTATTTTTAGCAAGCGTATTTTTTGCAAATGGCAACAGGTGGATAGAGATGTTCCCATGTCAAAGGACTTTTGCAGGTGACAAAATTCTTTAATTTTTTTTTTTTTTTTGGAGAGAGAGAGAGAAAGAGAGAGAGAGAGAGAGAGAGAGAGAGAGAGAGAGAGAATCTTAAGCAGGCTCCACATTCAGCATGGAGTCCAATGTAGGGCTTGGTCCTGGAACCCTGGGGGGTTGACCTGACCCTAAATCAAGAGTCAGACCCTCAACCAACTGAGCCACTTGGGTGCCCCAACAAAATTCTTTTTGGATCTAAGTGATTGGAAGAGTTCTGCTTCCCCAGAAGCTAGATTTCTTCTTCTTACTTGAAAGTGCGAATTTCTATCATCCCTCTCTTAGTTCAGCCCGGAAACCTGATTCACACCAGGCACAAAAACACAGGTCTGCAAGGGCTGCGTGCCTATGTCTTCTTTGCCCGGATTTCAACTTCCTGTTTCCATTTATAATCTCCTCCTCATGCATTATTTAACACATGCAAACCTCCTGAAAGCTGCCTCAAATCCTTTGTAGAGCGAGACTAGGTGTAAATACATCAACTCACTCATTAATCAATCAAAAAAACTTAATTCAAGCTTCTTAGGCTCCTAAAGACACAAACATGGACCCAGATTGGCATCTGGCAGACATGAGTAAATCTCTAAAGCCAAGCCGGTCAAGCTCAGAACGATCCAGCCGGCTGACGGGTCCATTGTAAGCTGACTATGATGATACAAGACACCCGGATCGGGGTGACCCAGGTCGAGGCTCTGCGCACCTCAGGGTGCCCGACTGAACATGTATTTTCTCTAATGTCTCCATACGAACAGGCTACAAAATTGGGGTTGTCATGACACCAAGTACTCCCTGGAGGACACTGAATTTCCCATGTCTCTTCTTCAAGATACTAGCCAATATATTTGTCACAGAAGAAGTGCTTGTAAGCTCTTGCTGATTCTGTGAGGGGCCCCATGATGCCTTGAGAGACAAACCAAGTCCACGCTCTTGTGTGCTTCCCAGGCTACTGGGTGGCGGGGATCATTACCCAGCTCCACAGGTCCCGCGCAAGTACAAGCCTGGAGCCAAACCCAAAGGCTCTGGATGCTGCGGTCATGACTTCCAGAGGAGGATGAAATGGAGCACTGAAGATGGTTTAGCTTGAAAGTGAAGGTTCAGGTCGGTGCCACAGAGGGAAAGACTGTTGGGAGGTGTAGAGGAAGGAGAAGAAGCCAGAGGCAGACTGATCTAAGCTCAGAAGGCCAGCAGACAACGGGATGGTCAGTTTTAGGCATCAACCTGGCTAGGCTACTGTACCCAGTTATTTAATCAAACTGGGGTTATGAAGGTATTTTGTGGATGTGGTTAGCATCTACAGTAGTTGACCTGAAGCGAAGGGCATTGCCCTTTAGGTAACGTGGGTGGGCGTCATCCAAGCTGTTGAGAGCAAAGGCCTTAAGGGTACCAACTGAGGTTTCCGAGAGAAGAAAGCCTGTCTCAAGACGGAAGCATGGACTTCTGTCTGAGTCTCCCACCTACTGACCTACACTGTAGACTTCAGGCTTACCAGGCCCACAACTGTGTGTGAACCAAGTCCCTAAAATAAAATAAAATAAAATAAAATGAATCTGTGTGTGTGTGTGTGTGTGTGTGTGTGTGAGTGTGTGTGTGTGTGTGTGTGTGTGTGTGTGTGTGCAGATGTCCTACCGGTTCTGCTTCTCTGGAGGACCCTGGTGGATATGAACAGTCACTGAAGGCAACATCAATACCAGGGAATTGTGGGCAGGAGGTGCTCAGGCCATGGATGTCAGAATATCAGGGTAGAAACTGAAGGACAGAATTGGAAACAGAGCTGACAGGAACTTGAGTGGCTGGGGCGACGTAGCAGGGAGGGGGGCTGAGGGAAAGGGAACTCTTGCCGGTGGAGCTAGGCGGCTGAGGACCTTGATTAGGATGGGCTGAGGTTCAGATCACTGTAGGATTTACAGGGCTTAATAATCAAGCTTTGGAAACGTGAGTTGAGATCTCTGGGCTGAAATGAGTGCCGGGCATTTCAGCCTCGGCAGTGAATGGAGGTGCACGGGGGGCACAGGGGTGTAAGGTACCCCGTGGAGAGGTTCCAGGCGGCAAGGATGGAGGAGGATGGGACCTTCCTGGGAAGGCACCCAAAGAAGAGAACGGAGAGAAGCTGTAGGGCGCCAGAAGCCGGGGGCTCAGGAGGCTCTCAAGGTCCAGCACTCAGGAGAAGGAGGTGAAATAGTGGAGAAGGTTTTATTGAAACTGGAAGTTTGTTTGGGTTTTAACTTGTGCTCTAAGGGGACTATTATATTGGTATAAAAAAAGGAGAAGTGAATCAGGAAATGACACATTCTTTATAAGAATATTTTTATTTTATTATTATTTTTAAATGTTTATTTATTTTGAGAGAGAGAGAAGCAGAGAGAGAGAGAGAGAGGGAGAGAGAGAATCCCAAGCAGGCTCCGCATTGTCAGCACAGAGCCGGATGCGGGGCTCGAGCTCACGGACTGTGAGATCATGACCTGAGCCAAAACCGAGAGTTAGACGTTCAACTTACGAAGCCACCCAGGCACCCCTGCAAGAATATTTTAATATGAGCTACGTGGGTGTATTCATTATTATATTCCAAGTCCGAAAGATGGTATTGGAGCTCTGACTCACCAGGTGATGTGAGGTACCCAAGGGTGGGGTAGCAAATGCGTTTCTTTAGGCCACGCCTTGCGTATACTCACGAATTTCAACGATGGAGTCACACAAATGGCAACAACAAGAATGCCCGTGGAGACTCACACACAGCCACAAACAGTTGTGTCCAGCGGTTACAGTGCAACCGGGAGACCCTGATGGGGTCTGAAGGTGTTCCTAGCCCTCCAACTTCCCGTTAGCTATAAACTCTTAGGCAAACTCACCTTCAGACTGTCTATAAAATGTTGAATCACTGCCTGACACACTTCCTTCATTCTCCAGGTTTGCCTCGAAAAAGCTTCCTCCTACAGGGAGGGAGAAAGCGGGACAGAGAATAGGATTATCACAGGTCCCCAGGGAGCACAGGTGCACGGTCACAGAACTGGCAGGTCACCTGTACCCACTCTGATTAAGTCAGCTTTGCAAACAGGTTTAGGGAACCTCTGGGTTTTATAATAATGCTACAGTTTTGGACCAGTCACCCTATTCTTCTCACACTGATTCGTGGTGTAACGTTGCTGCCTCCCCTAGCTTTCTTCCGGTACCTTCTTTGGAGGCAGTGTGGAGTCAAAAACAGAACAACAGATCGAAGTCAGAGACATGAAAGGTTGATTCCTGGACCTGCAAATTACTAGCCATGTGACCTTGAGTCTGTGACTTAACCTCTCTGACACTCGGCTTCCTTACTAGAAGAAAGAGAAATCTCAAGAGCTCGTGACGGTGATGAGACCCTGTGGGTTTGGTCTTTAGCTGCGGTCTGTGGCACGGACCCACACAGCTGCCTTTAGCTAATGATTTAACTATCACCCTTCTCTTCTGTAGAAGGGAGTCCACGTGGAACAAGCCCAGAGACAGCCAAGGTCAACCCCCTGGCATCTGATCTTTGAAGGCCCGCTGCCTCTCCTCTGGTCTTCTTTGGATCGAACACACAATCCTAATCTGAATCCAGGTCGGGCAGAGCAGTTGGCTAAGCCCTTTTTAAAGCCCTTTTCCAAGTTGGGAATTTTTACATGTGTTCATTCATCAAATGAGATCTCTGAAGATGGGGATGATGGGACTCTTTTAAAGTCACTGGATATTATATCCTTGGTACCCAAGATAGCACCTAACAGTGGGTGGCTCAAGAAAAATGGATTGGATTGGATGTTGGTGGGAACACTGATGGAACCCAGAAAATAAATATGGGTCTATGTGCCTTAGCTCGAAATGGGGCAAATGCCAGTAATGCTATGTCAAACTAAGCAACGGGCCTCCAGTGCTTATAATACACCCTGTGCTTTCTTGGATGGCTGTTAGGGGGGGCTCCCATGTGGGAAATCCAGGGGTAAATGCTAGAGGTATTTGAGGCAGGTTTAGTAGCCGGCTACCTTCACGAAACAAGCCATTAGTGGGTAGCCTGTCATGGCGACTCAGTCTGACCATATACCATTCTCTGTGTTTGTGTTTTTTGCCCAGCCTTTCATAATATATATGAAGTCCATTTATTCTAGCTCTGTGACCCTGAGGATGTGGCCTTGTCTTTCTGGGCCTCAGTGTCTTCACTTACGATGTAAGGCTTTAAGATGTCATCTCTGCAGACCCTAAGCTACAGATCTTAGTGCAAATATTTCACTGTGGCGTGGCTACAGCCAGTATTCATTCATCCATCCAGCCAAAAGTCCGCAAGCACCTACTAGGCGCCTGGCTCTGGGCTGGGTGTTAGGGTATACTGGCCAGCAAAGCCAGAAATCCTTGCTGCCCTGACCAATTGGATAGTCTAGTGGGAAAGAATTCATCAAAGATTTATGTAAGTCAATGTAAAATTATAGATACGTTAAGTGCCCTGACTGGGTGCTTCATAGTATGGTGGACGTGTCTAACAGGGACAGTGAGTCACCAGGCAGAGGGGTGGTGGGGAGGCGGGCAAACAGCGTGCACAGGGAAGGCGGTGGGCGTAGCAGGTGCATCTGAGGACCGAAACAGGAGGCAGTGTGGCTGGGCTTGGAGACCCAGACCACACAGGGCATGGTGACCGCATCTTTATTTTTTGATCTTTATTCCAACAGCCACATGAATAGCCAGTGGAGCTTCCATGGAGGTGATCTGGTCAGATTTGCACGTCCAAGTGCACTCTGGCTACCATCGGGAGAACGGCTTGGTGGGGGCAGTGAGGAAAGGCAGGGAGTGGAAGCCCTGAGTGCAGTGTGCTCTCGGTTGAGGGTCTCCGCCACCTACTGGGAAGAGCACTGAGGCAGGGCGGCAAGTGGGGGAATGTGCAGACCAGGAATGGTCTGGGAAACAGAGAGACCCGGGCATGTTTACAGATCAATAGGAAGGAACCAGTTAAGAGAGAGGCTGGCTTAGCAAGAAGGAAGGGATGCATGACCTTGAGACCTTCCTGGAAGGTGACAGGATCCAGTGTAGGGGTGCATACTACCTGCCCTGTGAAGAAGGTGCGGTCATCTGCCGAGAGAATGGGGGAGGGTGGATGGGGGAATGAGCAGAGAGAAGATCTAGAAATATCTTGGGGAGAATGAGCTGCCCAGAGGGCAAGCTCTTGCTGTGCATCATTTTGAACCTGCTAGTACAGCATCTCTCCCCCCGTGTCCCTTTAAATTCACAGGTGGGATCTTTCAGTGTTATTTAGGAATGGCAGAAAGTGGCTGAACTGTTCTGGAAAGCACTGATGTGGCAGTCACACCAGGTCATCCTATCTTTCGTGAGTTGCAGGAACCTCTGATTTCACACGGCTCAGCATTTTCAAAAGACCACGTTTGTCAGTCAAATCCCAGATGAAGGATGTTATAGACCTTTACAGGAATCACATCCAAAATAGATATACAGTGTTCATGAATAAAAAGGCAGGGTTTATTTCTCCCATTTTATTTATCCCATAAACACGTATTTATCCAATAAACGTTTATTTATCCAATAAACGTGTATGTTATTTATCCAACTGTCTAGAGATTAAGTACATTAATAACGACTACATTTATCATTTCACGTAGTGTCGCTTCTCTCTAGGGTAATGATTAAAAATGTCACGCTCAATCTATCGGATGAATCAGGTGAGCACTCGTTACCATTGGACACTGTATTTTTAAAAAATTTATTTACTTATGATCTGACCTCTCCAACTGGCCTGCTGGCTCTGGAATGGTAGGGTATTGTCTGTCTTGTCACTTAAACCAGGTGGGCACACAGTAGGTGTTCAATACATGTTTGCTGCATGTTTATTAAAGGAATGAATACCTCTTAGATCTATCTGATGGAACCAACGGGTCTCCTTGTAGGCCTGGCCTATCCCGGTCACCTGATACGGTCTGTGGGAGGAATAAGCCTAGCTTGGGAGGGCCGGAAGGACTGACGTGGGTGCAGGGCGGGCACCTGGTGGCTGACCCATAAGATTCTACGAACTCGGGGCGCCTGTGTGGCGCAGTCGGTTAAGCGCCCGACTTCAGCCAGGTCACGATCTCGCGGTCCCGTGAGTTCGAGCCCCGCGTCAGGCTCTGGGCTGATGGCTCAGAGCCTGGAGCCTGTTTCCGATTCTGTGTCTCCCTCTCTCTCTGCCCCTCCCCCGTTCATGCTCTGTCTCTCTCTGTCCCAAAAATAAATAAAAACGTTGAAAAAAAAATTAAAAAAAAAAAAGAAAAAAAAAAAGATTCTACGAACTCAATGAATTTTCAATGGACTGAGGGTGCTCAGGCCAACTACGCTGGTCCTGGGGGTGGAGAGGTTTCACAGGTACAAGGAACTCCACCCCGAGAGTTCTGGAGCAGAGCACATGCCTTGCGTGCCGTAGATATTGCATGTTATGTTCTGACCAACACGATTCTGAAAATGAGTACCCTTTGCTGGATCTGAAGATGGGCCCATCTTATTTAGAATGCTTGCTGCATAGGGCCGCCTGGGTGGCTCAGTCGGTTGAGCGTCCGACTTCAGCTCAGGTCATGATCTCACGGTCCATGAGTTCAAGCCCCGTGTCAGGCTCCATGCTGACAGCTCAGAGCCCGGAGCCTGCTTTGGATTCTGTGCCTCCCTCTCTCTCTAGCCCCTCCCCTGCTCATGCAATGTCTCTCTCTGTCTCAAAAATAAATAGAAACATTAAAAAAAAAAAAGAATGCTGCTTCACAAATTGTGGTCAGGTGCTCTCTGGGGCTCTCCATCTCGGCTGTGCCTTAACATACCCCATGGAGCTTTACAAAGTATCTGTACTGGGCTCACCTCCACAGATTCGGAAGTACGTGGCTGAGCGTGGAAGATGACCCTGTCACTGGAAGGTGATTCTGGACTGAGTACATACGGTTGGGATTGAGGAAGACAGGTAACAACAATGCAAGGGTGCTGGGTGATAGGTGGGAGCTCATTGTGAGGGCGCCCCAGTCATTTGGCGCAACCGGGAGGCCACGTGTGCCCTGGGGAATTTCCCTCTACTTGAGGCGTGAGTGAATTTTCTAGGCGGTGTGTAGAATAAATCCCATTGTTTCATGATCGTGGCTTATCAGCTTTGAACATGATCTCACAAACTGTTTCTTGTCCCCTGGTCTTCGCTTCTGTTAAACAGAAATCTTAGTTTAAATGGCGCCCTGAATCATGAAAGCAACTGACTGGAATGCTTCAGTGAAGCGTCTTCGTACCCACAAAATGCTTTCAAGATTAAGCGAGTGCCACGCTGAGGACAGAAGATGTGCCAGGGGTTGAGCCACACTTTGGGGACACAGAGGTGATGAAGCTATTGCTTCACAGGGTTGAGCAGGAGAGAGGCGTGTAAAGCATTCCCTGAAGGCCCGGATGAAGGAAGTGGTGAATCCCGGAAGGCCCAGAACCCAGATCTGCCTCTATGGTGGCAGACAGCTACCCCCAGTGGATGGTTTTCCTCAGAAAGTGACGCGTGAAAATTTCAAAGCCCTGAGCTGGCCCGCTTGGGACGCATGTCTGCCTGAGCCACCCTTGGGGCCTGAGGGAGAGAGGGGAGGAGAGCAGACCTGTGGTCTGTTCTGTGGGATTCTCCACATGTTTGCTTTTCCCCTCGTCTTGCAGTAGGCAGTGGAGGTCTGAATTTGGTGACTGGTATAGGGGTACACCAAGCAGACCTGGGGGCGTATGTGAGAGAAAAGAAAGGATGAGATGCAGTCAAGTGAGCCAATAATATTCTGGAAACTTCCTGAGGTATCTCTCTGGGTTGAAAAACGACTGTTAACAGGATTCCTCTCAGGCTTTATTTCTTTTTTGGCCTCCATTCCTGGAGAAAAGGTTTTTCAAAAAACCAGCAAAGCGAAGATAAAAATAATCTGTGGAAACCTTCAGCGCTGCTCTCTTAGCTTAGGCTTCCTGAACGGTTTGAAAGATAGGGTCTAGCAACCACCACAAAAGGCCCTAATGATTCTCTGTGTTTAATGCGTCCTTTAATGCTTTACTCCCTCGTCTCAGTGGCTGGCATATTTTTAGATAAGACATGGCCATAGACTTTATTGAAAATACGACAATGTAAAATAATGACGGCGAAAAAGCTCCAGAATGAGACGGATGAGATCTTTTTTCCTTCCCTCTTTCTCGTGGATAAAAAGCATTTACCTGTGTCAGCAAAGTGTTGGAAAAAATCTGCCTTTAGATAGAAGGAAAAAAACAACAACAACAAACACCAGCCTTTTTTTGGAGGATACGCTGTTCATATTCTGACAACGATTTCTTTCTACTGGCTGGTGTAATAGAACTGAAGAATATAATTTCTCCTTCTAATTACATTGGTTGTCTTAACTGTATAAAAACAGCGAAGGTAGAATTAGTCCTTCAGGCTTCCTGGGAGAGAAGCCCGCACTTTCCTGACTCTCCCAACACATCAAGTTCTGGAACTGGTGTGAGTAGAATTTTGGAGTAGGAGGGCAGGGGAGTGGAGGGCATACCTCAGAGTACAGACTAGTCTATGTGATCAAAGAGGACTTTCTGACGTTTTAATCATTAGGGGGAGACGATCCAGAATCTTTGATTTCTAGGGATCTAGAATTAATATGTGCACAACACGCAGAAATACTTTGGTCTTCTTTTTTAAATGTTAATTTATTTATTATTTTGAAGGGGGAGGGGGCAGAAAGAAAAAAGAGAGAGAGAGAGAGAGAGAGAGAGAACCCCAAGCAGGCTCCATGCTTTGGGCACAGAGCCCGACTCAGGGCTCGAACTCACCAACTGTGAGATCACGACCTGAGCCGAAATCAAGAGTCGGACACTTAACTGACAGAGACACCCAGGGGCCCCAATACTTTGGTCTTCTCAGCACATTCGACAGCCCAGTGGGGATGCTGGCACGGGGTAAGTCAAACTTAACAGAATCTTTGGTATTTAGCCTCCTACTTCTGATCCTCATTGGGGCCAGATAGTTAAGCAACTTTCTTGGTCCCAGTTGAGTGTGGCCGGTGTCGGGGGCCTCCCAGCCCGGCCTCCTTCCATCCCACCAGCCCCGCAAAGACTCCCAGAGCAGAGCACCGCCCACATACCTAGAATATCGAAGCACGCCCCGGTCTCCAGCCGGTGTTTCCTGTACAGGTTCTTCAAGACTTTAGCACTGCCGAAGCGTTTGAAGCGACTCTTCACGTTATTGTAGAACCATTCCAGAGACTGGGTCCTCAGAAGCCTGCGGAAAACACAGAATTAGAAAACAAAATCAGAATTAAAAACCGGAGTGATTAAAATGGTGGGTGGCCAAAGGTGCCGTGATACTCCGCAGCGCCTTCCATCAAGACGTGCAGCTGCCTTCTCCACTCTCGAGTCCGGGCTGGTGCGCGTGTGTGACTTGTTCGGACCACGGAGATGGGTGGGTGTGACACTGCAGATCTTGAGCCTTACGGTGACCTCTCTTGCCGCTCCTGGAGATCCTGCACCCCGTGACCACGCGAGCAAGCCCAAGCTGGCCTTCAGGGTGCCCACGGACACTTGGCCCAAATCACCCCTTCCGCCTCAGGCAATGACCGGCCCATCTCAGACAGGTGAGCGAGGGAAAAGGTGACAGGGACCTGGCGAGTGACAAGAGTGATAGCAGCCAGGAGGACAGCAGCGAGGATGAGGTCCAGACCACCCGGACAAAGAGATATTCAGCAGCGGTGTGGATTCAGAAGATGAAAGAGCTGACTCTGGTGATGAGGACACAGGCCAGCCTGTGGCAGTGACGGGGGGTGGCCAGGGGAGCTGCAGCCACAGCCGGAGCCACAGTACCAGTCTCACCCCCAGGGGCAGCGAGCACTCAGCCCAGGAGGCTGGCAGTGAAGCCACAGCTTTGGATTCCAGGCACAGTGACCGAGTCCCGGGACTCCCGGGACTGGCGCCGACATGATTACTGTGCATAGAAACGCATGTTTCCAGCGGTCTCTTTGTGAGCCTTCCGCTTTGTTCGTTTTCCTCCCCTCCTCCAAACCTTGGCTGTTATTAAAGCCAGTCTCTCTTTAAACAAATAAACAATTGCCTGGAGATGCATGAGTGGCCTGAAGAAGGACCAGCAGAGCAAGCATGCATCTGAGCCCAGCCAAACAGCAAGTGGATAAATGCTGGCCATTTTAAGCCACTGACTGATACACCTGCTTAATAGCAGGCTTTGTATGTGATACTCCTGTTGCACTGACAACACCTCTCACTCAGCACGAGAGAGACAAGATTTTCCAGCCACTTATGCATTCAGCTGGGAGCACGGAGGGAAAGCAGTTTCTTGGGCAGTGCTGGAACGGTGGGTCCAGAACACTGACAAGATGCTTCTCTCTTTTTTTAATTTTTAAAAAAATTTGTAAGAAAGTTTATTTATATTTGAGAGACAGAGCTTGAGCGGGGAAGGGGCAGAGCGCGAAGGAGACACAGAATCCAACGCAGGCTCCAGGTTCCGAGCTGTCAGCACAGAGCCTGTGCACGATCATGAGATCGTGACCTGAGCTGAAGCTGGACGCCCAACCGACTGAGCCACCCGGGCGCCCCTCTTTTTAAAATTTTTTAAAGTTTATTTATTTATTTTGAGAGAGAGCAAGACAGAGAGCAGGGGAGGGGCATAGAGAGAGGGAGAGAGAGAATCCCAAGCAGGGTCTTGCACCACCAGCACAGAGCCTGATGAGGGGCTCAAACTCACGAACCGTGAGATCATGACCTGAGCCAAAACCAAGAGCCGGATGCTTAACTGACTGAGCCACCCAGGTGCCCCCAAGATGCTTCTCTTTTTGGCTTGATGACATATTTCTAAGTCCCTTCCATTTCAAGAATAGCTTTTACTGTTACTTTTATTATGAATGTAATAACACATGCTCACTTTAGAGAATTCAGAAAAGCGAAACGAACATAAAGGCCTCTAATTCAATGGATGAACAAGCACATCTGTATCTACTCTTCCTCCCCAGATGCCAGTAAAATGGGAGAAGATACCCAAAGGGAAAAATCTACACAAACGAAGAATAGGGGTGAGAGCAAAACACCAGAGATTTTGACATATTTCTGGAAAATCGAAAGTGGATGATAGCATGAACGTAAGAGAGAATTCTGTCCTCCAGACAGGTACAGGATCTGGGCCTCCTGGACCGAGGGGTCCAACTTGGAGCTGGCTTGTGCCAAGAGCAGCACTGGCTGTGAGACGGAATTCAGAAAGCTGATCTAATGGCTGCATACACGACAGTGAGGCCTCTCGGTCTCCATCCCAATTCCTAATCAAATGGACAACTGGTCCAGGGATGCTTTGTCCTTAGGTCCCAAACGAAAACAGTCCTGTAATAAAATTGGACAATCTACTTGAAGAAGACTAGGGCTTGAATACAAGGGTCACACCTGCAGTGAAACCTTCCTTGGGCAGCTTTGGAAGAGTGTTCCCCCCCCCCCCCCCCCCCCCCCCCCCCGCCAACACCTGCCCACCAGATCCTGTCCATCTACCTGAAGATGGGCCTGGCCGACAAACTTGGAGCTGTCAGTCAGCACATCACCCCCGGTTCAAAGGACAGGTCTACTGGGAATACTAGCCTATCCATGTTAGCCATCTTTATTAATCAGCCAAGACCTTTGTTAAAAAATATGAATAGACAACCAGAGATCACTAGAAATTTGAAACAATCCAATGGATTGGGAAAGAAGGACCAAGAGAAACTAAGAGGGAACTTTTAAAAAGAGAAATGAAGGTAATCTAGGGTAATGAAAATCGCTCTAAACATTCTAATAAATGACAGTGATTTGAAACGACACTGTACCTCATCCATATAACAAGATTACGTGGTGTGAAAAGTAAGTAATCAGGCAATAATAGTTTCTTGGACACAGAACCTATGATCGGTGAAATCTTCCAGAATGCAGAGCAAGAAGTCAAAAAGATAGGACTTATCGGAGAAAGGAACATGAGGATCAATTCAGTGGGCTCAGCATCTAACAGGATTCCAGGAAGGGAGAAGAGGAAAGAAAAAACATCAGACATATAACAGAATAAAAGGGGCCCAAGCTAAGAAAGGCAAAGGTATTTAGGTTAAGAGTCTACCAAAGGCCAAGCAGAATAAATTAAATACCAAACAAAACACAGCAGACAATCCTACCTACATACATCTAAGATTCAGACCCTCAAAAAGATGAGGCTTTGAAGGCTTCCAGACAGAAAAAAAGGGCATTTTTGCAAATGAACAAAAATATGAATGACATTAACATTTGAAATCTATAACACCGAATGCAAGGAGACAACGGAGCATGGGTTTCCTAAGCCCAGAGAAGAAATAACAGGAACTCAGAATTCTATGTTCAAACTGTCATCGGAGGAGGGCCCAATAAAGGTATCTTCAGCCATGCAAGATATCCGAAAGTTTATGTGCTTTCTGGGAGGAAAAAAATTCTTAAGGTAAACCATAGGAGAGTGAAAAAACCATCTAAGAAAGAGGAAATCACGGCCCTCTAGAAAGAGGGAGTCGGTGCAGGGATCCAATGGGCAGAAGTCTCAGCGGGTATGAAAGGCGGGCAGTGCAAACAGGCCATTCAATAAGCGCATAATTAAGAGGCCAAATGAATGTAGAGAGATGCTGAAGAAGGAGGCACATCTTTCTTTTGGCAATAAGAATAAAGAAAGATAATTAGAAGCCCCGGGGAAAACAAAAACAAAACTCAAATGGCAGCTCTAGAAAGCGACGGTCTAATCAGGAAGCACATTCAAGGCCGTCAGATTCTGCCAACTAACGAAGCAGAAGAAAAGAGGCAAACGGCTCGTGGCCCGGGTTCGTGGCCAAGGATCACATTTCCTTCTCTCTGCAGACTTCACGACAAGACTCTGGTCTGTAGCAAATTGTATATATTGTATTACATATATAATATATGCATTATAATTTTATGTGTATAATGAAAACACCATTTTACTTTTCACACCCTATTTATAGACAAAGCATGAAAGGCCCTCCCTGTCAAGACGTTTGCATTTTTTGCTGAAAGCGAAACCAAGTCATCAGCTGGCCTGAAAGGGAGCCCGGATGCAGAGAGAGGCAGGAACAACACAGACGGCTCACAGAGGCTAACTTCCTCATCTTGCACAGTGGGGTCCAGAACGGCTTCTCGAATATATGGACAACCATCACGGTTTAAATATGTCATGTAAAGTGACAGAGGTCACCGGGTATTAATAAAACTTTGGGGGGAGGGGAAAGAGGTAGCAAGGACGTGGGCCAGGCATGAAAGTCTAAAGTTGATGAGTCAAGAAATGGTAAGATCAACACGTTAGTTAGAATTTTAGCAGTAACCCCAAGGAATGTTTACAGGTGACTGCTTGGGGCATTGGGACTTGGCATGTTGCTGGGGGCATGAGATCCCTTAACTTTCGTATCATTTTATATTGCTTGAATTCTTTTTTAACCAGGTACATGCATTAACGTAAGAGCACTGAAATAAAAACAAAAGGGGCGTCTCGGTCAGGTGGGTGGCTCAGTCAGTTAAGTGTCCAGCTCTTAATTTCAGCTCAGGTCGTGATGTCACGGTCATGAGCTCGAGCCCCACGTTGGGCTCTGTGCTGGTCGTGGAGCCCGCTCAAGATTCTCTCTCTCCCTCCCCCTCTGGCCCTCTCCCCAGCTCATGCTCTCAATTTCTCTTTCTCTCTCTCTCTTTCTCTCTCAAAAAAAAAAAAAAAAAAAAAAAAAACATACGTAAAAGAAGATTTTTTAAAAAATCACCCCAAAGTCTTACCACTGGAACTTGACATCTGAAGTGTTTGTTATGGACTGAAAGTCTATATCCCCACAAAAGTCCTATGTTGAAACCGAATCCCTGATGTGATGTTACCTGCGGGTGGGGGGCTTTGGGAGGTGGGGCCCTCATGAACAGGATGGTGTCACTATAAAAGAGACCCTAGAGTGCTTCGTCCCCTCTCCTACCGTGGGAGGACACAGCGAGAAGCCGGCCGTCTATGAGCTGGGAAGCAGCTCCTGGCCAGACACCAAGTCTGCCCGTGCCTTGATCTTGGCCTTCCCGGCCTCCAGGACTGTGAGACATACGTTCCTGTTGTTTAGAAGTCACTCAGTCTGCGGCATTGTATGATAGCCGCCGGGAACAGTGGTATGTGTGGGTGTGTATGTGTGTGCACACGTGTGTGCATGCACGCCTAACGCAACACACATGGGGAAGACAGTGTCGGTCTCAAGTCTGTTGGTGCAGAAG